TATTTTATTAACTAGACTTCACAGTTTGTTTTGTGTGCTTTTTTTCTTCGTTGGCTACAGTACACTTCTGGTGTGAAGCCGATTCCCAAAAATAATTTATTATGTTTTTTGGGGTAGTTCAACTATACTTTTTAACTACAATACTCTGTCAGTACATTTTTACTATTATGGTATTTAATTTCTAGAATAATCTGTTGTGTAGGGTTTGTATGTGTTAAGTTAATCTTTAAATTCATCAAAGAAGTAGAGCATTACAAAAATAATGTTCTTATGAATTTGTCCTCCTTCATAATCTAGGGTGCTGAGCTCTAGCCCATGTTCTACACATTACTTCAGACAAAGCATCGACGGTGCCATTATCATATCAATGCTAAAATCCATTGGTGATTGGCAGGAGTTTAACCCAGAACCTCTGGTACTTAACCTCAAACGTTCTTCATCAATATCAACTTGCTTCCCAAAGAACTATTAAAAACTGTTTCAAATGTCACACAAGTTCAATCTATTTTTAGCTTCATCAGTTTTGAAAAAAAGTTACAAAATAAAAATAAATTGAGTCCGTCCGAATTTCACCTAAATTAAAAAGAAAGATTTAGAATGATCGCCCAGTCGGCTTCAGTTAAAGCTAATGGAGAGAGCACTGAGTGTTGGTGGCATGTAAATAAAGCGTCACATTGCTGTGAGATATGTCGCTGCGAGTGGGCTTGAAGCTGCGGCATTGTCATCTCATTCGACCACGGGTTACAGTTACGCATGTGCTCAATTTGAAATATATCCAGTGTACTACGTTGTACGCTGATTTAATTGATTTTCTTTAATAACCGAACGTGTGGGGAGCGAGCTGGTCTAGTGGTTAGAGCACGGGACTTCATGACCTGAGGTCCCGGGTTCAAATCCCGCCAAATCACCAATGGATTTTATCTAAGTGATAATGCCGCAACCCCTAGGTCTAGCCTGAAGTATCCCGGGCTCGTGCCTAGCGTCAATCAATCAATCAATCGTTCCTAGCCTCCATAGAAAAAAATAAAAAATAAATAAAAATAACTGAACTTGATCCCTCAGATTTAAAATCGCTCTACGAACTTGAATCTCTTCTACAACAAATGTGAAATCCCCCCATTTGATTTTGGTTAATCAGGACAAAATGGCAAAATAATGGTGTATTTTTGTTAAAGTAATATTATTTGCAAAGCCCCTAATTAATGTTGAAGACAATAAGAACTCTTATTCTCTTTGTATAATAACTGTAACCCTTAAATTTACTGGGTCATGAAACCGAGAATAAACAAGGTCACTACTAAAAAAACACACATTTGTAAAACGTCTTTACCTTCCGAATCTACGTAATCTCAGTGTTGAGGTTACATTTCCTCGTGTTGTGATTTTTCCATTCGACACTTTTCTTTCGTAGGATTATTCACCACGACGTTGTGAGATATGAGGTCTCGACGGAAGTGACAAAAACCGACATTCACAAATCACCCTCTCTTCTGTCGCTGTAACTTTAACCCCCCCCCCTCCCACTCCACGCCAATTACAATACATGTAGCAGGGTGTTTCGGAACAATAAATACATCTTATAGTATCAAGGTCGTGATGTTAATTGACATTGTATAAAGTACTTTTTGTAGAATGATTTATTTGTCAATGTTTTATTGAACTTTTGCTGCACAAGGCAAACTTTGTTTGGAGTGAGCTTATCTAGTATTTTTCCCCCATGGGCGATAGACAGTAGTCCGAGATAGTTTTTCACATTACTTCAGGCTAGAACTAGGGGTTGCAGCGTTATCAACTTAGATAAAATCCATTAATAATTTTGCGGGACTGAAGTGACTAGACCAGCTCACTCTAGTGCTGGTTCTAGTGCTGTAGAGCTGGTCCAGTGGAAGAGCGCAAACTTTGATCACTGAGGTCCCTGGTTCAAATCCCGCCAAATCATCAATAGGTTTTAGTTAGGTGATAGCTGTATGGGCTATTAATTAACAGCTGTGTCTAAGGAATATGTCGGCCTTAGTCACTAACAAGACTACAAGATCGCGCCACTCATCCTACACTCATCCTTCACTCATATTTGGGTTAAAATACGCACATAGTGGCGTCCCCATCTTAAATAATTGATAATTGATAATTGATAATGTCCCAACTCTTAGGTTAGGAAGTGAACAATCAAAACCATTAGCCAATGTAGTATCTATTTGTTACAATCTCAAAAGCATACATTGATACATCTCAAGTTGTGTGTATGATGTAATATGACTTGTCTGAAAGTATTGGAATCCCGACAACTGCGGGTTTAAGCAAGCGATTCGTTTGACTTCCAACCTCTATTGCTACCATTACTTTATCGCTTTTGCTCTTTCTTTATCGACATTCTACTCTTGTTTCAAATATTTGTTAAAGAAAACTTACATAAAAAATGATTAAAATACACTTTTGTGCGTAAAGGAAGGAGAAATTAAAAAGAAAACTTATCTTGGATAAATAATGATAATAAAAAAAAGTTTCAATGATTTAAAGAGAAAACCTAAAACGTAAGAACATATCTGATTTTCGGATAATTCCCAGTCAACACAATTTCTGGTCTTGTCTTGGTTTTGTCTCGTATACAATTCAGAACTGCAAGATTTTTATTTCAAGATCTTTTTTACTGTTAAATATCAAATTCATCATGGATAGGAAATTTGTATTAGCACAAATTAAAATTATTATGGGAAGTGAGTTACAATATGGGTTCATATTGTAACATGATCAAAGAAATTTTTGTATTGGCTCGATCGTGTTTTACCTCAATAATTTATTCAAATATTCTCTATCGTTTAACCCTTTATATTTACTTCATTTTAAACTGTGGAACTCACAGTGAATCCTAGACAATATTTACAATCTATTTATTTTATTTTCAACCCTAAATAAGTAGTTTGCAATTCATCTTAGGGAAATAAATTGTACAGTAAAAAGGTCAGGGGGGTTTTATTCTTGTGTACTAAATTATTCCAAAGAGAACCACACAGTAGTTCGTATAAAACTGGTATTTCACTTGTCAACAATAATTAACAGCGCATAACTGGGGCTTTGAGGCAAACCCCCCACCCCTATGTAGCTTCTACTGGTGTATGTTTGTTTATTCCAAGTGGCAACTTAAACTCTGTTCCTAATTGATGGCTAAAACCATTGAATTTGTATTTCCATTGCACTTAATTATAGCGGGAATACTTGTCCTCGATCCAGTAGACTGGAATGTAAAATGAACTCGTATTTTGTTGGTGGGTTTAGAAAACTGGTTAAAGTAGATGGTTTATATTTGTTTTACATTTTTGTAAAAGTGAGTAACGTGAAGTTGTGCAGTAAACTTTCATTTTACAGGAAATAATAAGGGAGTGAGGCCCTGGGGCCCTTTAAAGTTTTGTATTTCTCCATAAGATTAACATGGGAAAAAACACTGTTATGAAACTCCAGCTGTTGTCAGAAATTAAAAGTGAGAAGAAGATATGTTAATTGTAAACAGTCAATAAGTTTGTTTATTTAAACAGTTTGCTACAAACATTTACTGACTTGGTTGAAATGAAATATTTACTATTTGAATTTGGGTTGGCGTAAATATTACAATGGAAAATGCGAGAGAGCCTGGATAATTTGATGCACTAAAAAAACTGGATTAAGACTGTGCTGTGCTGCATTTCTTATAGTAGTCATTGAAAGAGCCGATTTGCAAACTACGGAAACATAGGAAAGTCATAGAACACCACCAAGGACAAGAAATAGAAAAATGTTGTTTTTTTTAGAATTTTAATCGTTATTATGACCAACCTAATGCGGCTATGAGTAAGGCTGTTTTTTTTTTTTTTGTAGAAAACACTAAAAACCAGATCAGCTTTTGAAAAATGATAAGATATTTACAAGAAATGTCGATTATATCGATCCGTTAAGTGCATCTTCAGTATTTCCATAATCTTTGAGTCAAATCTTTTAAAGTCATCAGAAATTATGACTGTTATTCGTTTTAAAATAACGCCTGTAATACTTAGCAATTGCTCAAATTCGAGCAACAGGGACACTAGTGATTGATTATACAGAAATAATTGTTTTTGAATTAACTACAAAAGAAACTACTTAGAAAAGTATAGTTATGTAAATAATGATGATACTTTCAAACAAAACACGCAATATTTTAGATGATGGTATAAAAATATATAGTAGACTTTTTTTTATGAGCAGTTGTAACCAACAAACCGAATGCTTTATTCCTCAAAGATTATAAAATCTTTTTCTTAGAGATTTAAAAAACTTTTTCATCTTCCATGCAATCTTTCCTCAATTACTTAATAACGGGACCTTACAGCTTAAAGTGTACATGTTAAGTGTGTGTGGTACCATCTGATAGTGCATTATAACATTTAAAAATGCCTTCGGTTATTGGAGGAATTCGAACCATAGCCCCTAGGTCATTTAACTTGCGCTTAATCATTCAAATATTATTATTTTTTTAGTCTGTTCGTTTTAATTATTTTTGACATTATTCAAATTATGTTTGTTGTCTTCTTTTCCAATAATTATTGGTCTTTATACCATTTTCACTTTTTAAATGTTTGTTTTCAGGTTCCTGTGTTGGTTTATTCATTTAATAAATACTTATGGTAAAGAGCTATTGTTTTAATAAAAATTTATTTAAAGTTTTTATATAATTTTGATTTGCCTTAAAAGCGTCAGGCAACAAAAGAATGCCTATAGGCAGTTATCGTTTTAATTTTTTTGTCTTATGATTGTTTTTTACTTTTTTGCCTATTTAATTAGTTTTATTCACTTACTATTTTATTAATCTGTTGTTGACCTTTTTGTCTTTTGTCCCCAGCCATTAACTGAAATTTACTTTCTATTTTGCAATGTTTGCTAATGTTGCTAAGTTTTCTACAGTTTGCTTCAGTATGTGGTTTGTTTTCCACTATTTACTAACGTTTGTTTTCTATTTTGTACTTTTTACTAAAGTCTATTGTTTGTTACAGAGGTCAAGCAAGAATTGGAGGACTTGATGGCTGATATCAAGAAAACTGCCAACAAAGTCCGCGCCAAATTAAAGGGTGAGTACATAGCACTTACTGTTTCACAATTTTAAACATGATTTGATAATCAAAGTATTTAAAATCTCTAAAGAAAGTCATTAAAATTAGGAAAAGGAAAATCTCAAAGACTAATTCAAAAACATTGCTATCAACCATCTTTTTTTTCAGAATAATTTTTAAATAAGAAGAGTATAGGTAATTTTTTTTCGCACCTTCATTTCTGTATGGAAATTAAAGTTTGAATTTGCTTGGGTCTAAAGGAATGGATATATGCCACTGTATAGTCAGTGTTATTTTACGATGTTAAGTATTAAACATAAAAATGGCTACTAGCTCATATTCATATTCTTTGAGATGGGAACGCCACTTATGAAATGAAATAAAATGAACTATGTTTATTGTCTTTTGAATTTTTTTAAATTATTGACAATGTTATAAAATAGCTAAAATTATAGCATAGTCAGTGATTGAATACAATATAGCTAACTACCTAAAAGTAGACATGTTACAATAATTGTACATATTTTAAATATTGCAACTGATCTTTATGATAAGAAAACTTTTTGGCATGTAGAATAATGGAAATAGTTAAACCTCATAACCAACAAAATCCAACAGTAATTAAGTTAATTTGCTAACTCTACTTAAACATTTCTACAAGGCATTTCAAAGAAATCGTTTATATAAAAAGGGTGGAATATGTGCGTTTTTCAACCCAAATATGAGTTAAGGATGAGTGTAAAATGGAGTGTAATGCCTTGCGTAGCTTTGTTACTGACTAAGACTATATGTTTCATTAGTCAGAACCATTTATTGAAAGCCCAATGATCAAGGACTAAATAATTACTATGCTTCCACATATTTAACCAAGTATTTAGAAACAACAGATGCATATACTGTAATTACCATTCCAACGGATATATTTTGTAACGTCATAAACATCAAAATATGCACAAAGTATTTAAATTTTGCTAAACAGTATAAAAAGCATTTAAACAAATTTGTATTTCAACATATGTTTCTCCCTTTGAAGTGGATTCCAGGTGCTGTAATGTGCGTTTCCGCTCTGTTTGCAAAAAAATTCCTACAAGAATCAATATGAAACAGTGTCGGTATTGGGGAGCCAACTGTTACGAGGCTCGGGGTCGTACATTTCACATTTAATGTGGTGGTAGCACTGTCTCCGTGCAGTTTAGTTGGTACTGACTTGGCTGTGTGCCAACTTAGGAACATTGCAACTCCCCCCTCCCTGGTCTACCCTCGCTTATCGCCGAGTCATGAGGGGCTATTGCTTGGCTGTGAAATTAGATTATTTTGTTGCAGAAATAGGCGAAGTGTGATTAAATATTGGTTTTTGTCTTCAAATCACATCCGATTAAACCTATAAATAGAGTTTTGTCTTAACTTTGCATAGAACCCTGAAGTTTTTTGTGTATTTTTACGTTTTATATTTAGTAGAACCTCGATGACAAGGGTCATTTTCAAATCCCCTTGAAATTATTACATCCCTAATCACATTTTATTGCAAACATCGATAAGAAGTCAACCTTGATAACAAGTCTTATTTTATAATCCCTATTAGAGTCTTGTTATCAAGGTTCTACCTGTACATAAAAGCTAAAACGATTATTATCTTAATTTCTGTATGTCTGTCGTTCAGCAATTTGGAAATTTACCCTACCTACCCGGGAGAAAATTATAGTACAAATCAAGCACTAAATACTTAATAACTTAATATTTACACTTACTTATACCTATTAATAAGATACACTTGGTAATATTGAACTCATTCATTATACCTGTAAGTAAACATACTTTTGAAAACGACAGTCATTGCAGAAATAGAAATACCCAAATAGTAAAAATTGTTAAAAAATAAGAACATTCCCAAATTATTAACAGTTATTAACCCAAATTATTAAGGTTTATCAACAATCACGACAAGCTATGTTACTGGACAGTAATAATAAGAAATAGATCTATGACTAACTCATTTTAAACCCCCTCATCAAGTTTTAATTTTGTATTTTAAACTATTGTTTTATTCAAATCATCTCTAACAGTGACAGTAAAAGTAAAATTGACTGAAAACAGCTGTGATTGACTGATTGACCTGGTCAGTAACGAAGTAAGGTTGGTCAGTTAGTGGGTCGGTTGTGGTTCTAATTTGGTAACCGAGAATAGATTCTGACATTGTCATGGTTACCGGGTTACTGGCACTGGAAAACTTTTCCTTCAACAAGAAGTATTGGTATCGACATGGTAATGGGCAAAATATAATTACATAGGTATAGAGAGTTTTTTTTTGCACACAACGTTCTTTTCATGAAGAATGATAAAGGCTATACAGAATTAAAAAAATAAAGTAGTAAACATGAAGGTAATCTAAATTAACAAAATTGGACTAAAACATCTAAAAAACTAAATTTAAAAAATTAAAAAATACTAAAAAAGCTCTAATAAACTAAAAGGGGTGCTATGAAAATCTTAATTGAATAGAAGGCTTAGTCAATTAATCGGTCGCCTATTTTATCTTTGAAGTTTATTGGGATTGTGCCAAATTTAGAGACTGAAATTTGTTGCCATTGTTTAAAAAAAATTTAATTGCTTGGTGTTTTTTTTTTTTATTTGAGTTTTTATCCATTGCTCAAGAACCAACTCTTCATGTTATTTTAGCTTTAATTGATATACATTTTAGTAAGGATACGTTTATTTAAATTCTTAAAGTATAACTAATCAAAATATTTCTTTTCATCCTACATAGTTTATTGTTCCTGTACTAATGTGGTTTACTTTATGAACTTCATAATTTATCAGTTTGCTTGATATTTAAAATTTGAAATACCAGAAGTGTAATCTAGTGGAAGCTATGGTTCTACTTCTTCCTTCCTTAACTAAGTCTCTGCATTTAAATCAATGTGTTTATATACTTCTAAGCAATATTAGCTCGTTTTTAAATCGGAAATAAAAAATCACAAAATATTCACATAGTAACTACATTGAGGGAGGAATTTTCTCTGAACAGTCAATACAGCTCCAGTTTGGGCAAACTCGTCTCAGAAAACGCTTTTTTTTACTTGGTGGTAGCCATTTCTTAAAAAAAGTCTGTTACACTTAATTTGTAGCCAAAACATTACAAAGCCGTGTCATAATAGTAACGTATTCTTTCCATTGTTGACATTAACAGCTGTGTTTATTGATGTAGATAGAAAATCCACCTGTTTAGTCTTGCACCATTTTTTAAAATCAGCCTGCATTTGACATTGGGTTGTATTTGTTGGTTATGATCCACTTGCATTTCAGTGGAATTTGTCGCCTAATCGTGTCAGCAAATTAGGGGAGTATTAGTGGAACAATCCCGTACAAGCACCGCTGCTGGTGGTCGGCCAAATTTGATTATGAACCGAGCTTAATGTGCCCCAGGCCCCCCTTCCATCCCCTCCTTCAGTAATCAATGCAAAACGTCGGTTTTTAAATCCAGTATGTTTAAAAAAGAATGCTGGGATTTTAAACGGCCATTGCTCGGGAATTATTTAAGATAATTAAACTATTTAAACGTCAAATTGAAGGGAAAAGAACAAATTTTTTCCTCATACTTTGAAACATTCGGAATAATTTAATAACATTCAGAATTTCATCAATCTCATGAGCGTAAAACTGGCTAAGTTGTACTCTTAGGGTGATCGGCAGGTTTTTTCTGATGTCTTAACTGAATTTTGTAGGTACAAAGACTCAATCTTTTAAGGATAACATTTAGTGTCAATTTAGGTATGATTAATTGAAGACTTTGTCGGGAAATAGATTTTTTCGGGCTTCCGATGTAGAATTGATGGATTTCTTCGACTCTGTCACCAGTCAAAAAGCAACTGAACTGCAGTTACTGCACATTTTTTTGCCGGCCAGGTGAATGTTCTTTCAAAACACTACGGTGCCATTCAAACTCATTAAACCAGCATCAAATTTCTTTATAATCAGTTTAGTTTAATTTAGCAATCAATTTAATCTTTGGGAACCATATATTACATTCTGTGCCTTTTGTTGCACCGTAAACATCGTACAGGCGTGTGAGTCTACCAACGGCAGCCTACCACCCCGCACCTGTTTTGCGCATGCCAAGGAGCATTTCCTCCCTTGGTACATGGGAAACAAAACTTAGCTATTTTACTTCAATTTGACGTATAAAACGTTTATTTACCTTGATTGGTACCCAAACAATTACCATTTAAAATCCTGGCATTCTTTTGTAAACCCCCTTGATTGTCTACCAAAATGGTAGCCAATATTACCATTACGAACCAATTTTACTATTGATTTTCCACAATATTTGACGGGCTACCATTTTGGATAGAAATGAGATAGCAACCTCTAGTTTTCACCATTCTTTAAGTTTTTGTAAACCCTTCAAAATGAGGTGTCACTTGAAGGGGGTTTACATTTAAAATATTTGAGTTGCCCCCCAAATACCCCCTTTTGGGGGGACACTCAAAAATTTCAAAATCATAAAATGAAACTTCCTGCTAAGATTGCACGACCACCAAAAGGATATCTCTGTATATTTACTTGGAAAAATATTAGATGGGGGGGTCTTGACTTTTTATTCACCCTGTAAAAGGATGAGAGGGAAAGTAACAAAAAAAAATTATAATACAACACTCAACAAAAATGTAACTAATGTAATTGATTGTATTTATTTCAATAAATTTTGTTTAACAAAGCTTAAGAAAGATTTTAATGTTTAACAAGGATAAAATACATATTGTATGCTTAAATTATGACCTGCCAATTCATGTAAATGATAAATGACCAACAAAATCTCATGTCCAACCAAAAGTATCTTAGTAGCTATTTATTTTAGGTTGTTCCACTATGACTACTTTTCCTATTTTCATTCCCATTCTCTTATTCATCAATTTCTTTCAATATTATTGATAACAATAACCCCATTAACATTTGTATTTTTACTAATCCTATTTGGTTATATTACAGTTATCGAGCAAAACATTGAGCAGGAAGAGCAAACAAACAAATCGTCAGCGGATCTCAGGATACGCAAGACGCAACACTCAACGTTGTCCCGCAAGTTCGTCGAGGTGATGACCGAATACAACCGAACACAGACCGACTACCGGGAGAGGTGTAAGGGCCGGATACAACGGCAACTGGAAATTAGTAAGTGCTATAGAAACAGAAATACAAAATTCCTGGGTGCAAATAAAAAAATATCTTAAATGGCCTGATCATCAAACTCGAATTATTATCTCTGGCCTAAAGCATTATTTGAATTTTGAGTGGTTTTTAATCTTCAGGTTTGCATACAGCTTTTTCTGTTCATTACGTTCACACCATGTCTAGGATTTCTTATGGTATTTCAGGGTTGTTCCCTCATTGTGAACTTATTTTCCAAAAATAGTCATACAAATTTTAACTGATAGTGGACAACGTTCTTCTTGCCACCGTCTTTTTACTCAGATGTCACTTTTTACCTTTTATATTCTTCAATTGTGTAATTTAACTTATGTAAAAGGAAGATTACGAGGAATTTTTAACATAACAAACTTTTTTTACAGCGGGTAGACAAACAACCAATGAAGAATTGGAAGAAATGTTAGAACAAGGAAATCCAGCTGTGTTCACGCAAGGGGTATGTTTATAAATTAATTTACAGATTTACAATTAATATGGTCCACAATTTGTACTTTGATTATAAATCGTTATATTATAATGCCTTTTTTGTCGTTGAATTTTGTTTAGGACGTTTTTAGTGGTTCTGCCACCCATACTATATGACATAAATCATTTTTATCATTCTGCTGCAAAAAACTGCTTTTTTCAATAGCCTACACGTGTTGACCGGCACTCTTCTTCTTCTTAATGAAAATGAAAAATGAAATGAAAAATCCTTTATTTTTTCAGGCAAAGTTAGGGCCACATGGCCCTTTCTTACACTTAACCTTCTTAGTGTTTCAATTAAATCAGCTGGAATCGTAATCGAGCACACAACTGAACATTTTATAGTTTTTTTATTCGTATGCCGCTTATGTCTACCAAAATAGTTCCGATTAACTATTATAGTATCATTATAACAAAACAGTTTGTTATTGTTAATCATTGTGTTATATTGTGTATTCCACTACTCTATCGTAATTTGGACAAATTTAAATGTGGAAGAATTTCAGTAATAAAAAATTAATGTGTTACCTATGGAGTGATGTGGTAGAGTGATATTTATTGCGTCTAAATCACAGTAACAGCTATTTATGAATAACTTTCTAATTTTCCAAATCTCAGTTTGGATCAAAAAGAGTCACTTTATGCCCTAGTGATGAAATATAGTAAAATCTCACTAAATCTTAGCTGTGGTATAAAAACTACACAAACATTAGCCATGACTATGACTATGACTTTTCGCTCAGGTAAAAAAAAGTGTGTAACTTTAAGAAACGGTTTTTCGCAGATCATCATGGAGACGCAGCAGGCCAAGCAGACGCTAGCGGACATCGAAGCTCGACACGCAGACATCATCAAGTTAGAAAATTCCATCCGTGAACTGCACGACATGTTCATGGACATGGCCATGTTAGTGGAAAGCCAGGTGGGGACATATTTTGAATAGGACTTTATAATTATTGGATATTTTACATGTAAATGGATTTGAAAAATAGTTAATTTAACTTTTTAGGGTCTTCTAGGGAAACCACTGTTAAAATTTGCTCCATGCAAATAAAGGTAATGCAAACCAACCTAACCTATCTTAACCCAACCTAACAACTTAACCTATCCCAACGTAACCTAACCTAATTGATAATAGTGGCGACACTATTTTTGAATGATTGATTTTTCCTGTTTAAAAAAGAATATAGTATTTGAATGAAAAAAAAAAAACTAGTAAGATTCAACTCTGCACTATTTATTTTTGTGGTCAAAGTCTTTGGGTACAACCAAACAGTCTCACATGATGATCACTACTCTAACGCTACAACTTGAATATAGAGTGAAACTTGGAAATTCAATGCGGGAACATTGACTTTGTACTACAAGTAGACTTCTAGTCCTTTTGCAAAATCGGAAATCAGTTTTGATGTGTGTTTCATGTTGACGACTTTTTACAGGTCAGATTTCCACTAATTGTTTCTTATTTTTGGGTAAATGTTAAAATAGTTGTTTCAATCTTTAGCTGTATACCAGAGGACTAAAAGTATGGCAAACAAGAACAATTGTAATTCTGAACCCAACATAAACCAGATAGAACTAATACATAGGTAATAGATAGTTTTCTCTGTAAATGGAGAGTTCAATGGTCCCGAAGATGACACTCTATAGAGGCTGTTGAAGTGTTGTACTGATTAAACTGTTTTGGTACAATTTTCATGTCACCCAAAGACCTGCAATATGTGACATGAAAACTCTGTGAAGATAATTTGATCTGTAGTCATTTTTTTAAATGCTTCTAGGATCGATAAATATTATTTTCTTTTGGCAATAACAAATCAGCTTTATTTTTGATTCCCTAAATAAATTATATATGATTAATTACTTATTCGAAGATAATCAAAATACAGTATGAGAAAAAGGGTGAATTTGATTTCTTTGACTTATTATTTTTAGCATGATTTTGTTTTATGTTTATAGAGTGTGTTTTATTTATTAGGAGTGGGCGAGTTCTGATTTTTTTTCAAAGTCACATTAACTCGAAGAGGATTGATTAAATTAGCCGGATGTATTAGTTGAATCTTAGTCATCAAATGACTTATTTATCAATGATTGATAGGCCTACTATTGTCTGAGTAACAAATATTTTTATTGTGTGATGCATAACTTGAAATAATCTAATCCTATAGTTGCTGAGCTATTAAAACTTGAATTTTCAGAATATTTAGAAATATTTGACATCTGATAAAGCTTGTAAAAAAGTCAAGGTAACTACTTAATATTCCAGGACTCGACCACTCCTTGTACAAGAGTTGTCCGTAAATTATGGCCTCCTTTGAGCTCCCATTTAACGAAACAAACATCCTTAATTTACGGACAGCCCTCATATTTTAAATCATAACAATATTTATAAACAATTAGGTCTTTTATTTTAGTTATTCATTGCGATAATATTTTTACAAATAATTTACATTCCATACCAGTTGGCCGAGACAACTTTATTGGTCGTATCAGAGCAATCTAGTGTTCATTTTGGCATAAAACCCCATGGATTGAACTTAAGGTACAGTGATACCGCTTGCTTGGGGACTGCTTTTGGCTTATAGGTGGCTGCTGGCTGGAAGATTTACAAAACGGTGGTATTTTGGATTTTTGAACAAAACTTCATTTCAATTTTTGTACTTGGGGTACTTGGTAGTAAGCATATTCTTAATATTTTCTTGTACTTTTTCTGTGACAACTTTTCTACTGTGTTATTCATAATCATGCAGTTTAAAAATGTCTATTTAGCTCTTATTTCCATCTATATTTTAAATTAACTTACATTAGAGTTCCACCAATCCAAAAGGAAAATTACTTTCAAAGTAAAGAAAACATAATATTTGAAGTTATGTTGTACAGTTATGTACATTTAACTACGCTTTAATCACATATTTTCCCATCGAAACAAAAAGTTTTGTTCAAGCTTAACTTGTTTAGATTAGCGGGACTCTTTGTGATTAATTGGTGACAAGTGTTAAATTTAGATTGGACATATTTTATTTATCTTTCATTTTTAAAGGTTTTCTGAAGCATATAACTTAACTATATTTTAACTCTAATTTAATTTAACTAATTTTAACTTTTAAGCTAAGAATCTACTAACCAGTTAATTACTTCAAAACAATTTTAATTTTCTTGCACATTTCCATTTATTTCAAGTGAATGATGCCTTTGAAGCACTTTTTGTGAAATATTCTATTCACATTGCTCAATTATCTTCTAACCAACTAATGACTTCATTACATTTTTCTCAGACTTCATTTCTAACCTCATTTTCTACTCATTAAAAGCCAATGCTAAAAGGTTTTAGCATTGACTTTGGATACTGATATGGTTTTAACATTCTTGTAGAAATGTGTACTTCTTATTATTTTACTTCAATTTAAAACATTTTTCTATTCAGTTGGTATATCATATTCAGTTTTATATTTGACTAGCTGCTATGTGCTTTGCTTAACTTTTACGACATCCTTTTGGGGATTAAAATTTTAGTCTGGAGCAAAGCCTTTTGGTTTCTAAAGTTCTATCAGTAATCAAAGTCTGAACTAAATCCTTAGTCAATGATTTAAAATTCCTAATGTAAAAAGTAATATTGCAATCATATTTATAAGAAAGTGTTTAATATTTCTTTTTTGCTATACAAACTTGAACCTTATACAGGGTTGGGCAAATGTGTGGATACCCCTAGTTAACTTTTTAATGGGTGACACCAGGAAAACTAAACTCCACATACCTTCATAATAAATAAAACTGCACTTTTTGGACGGTATCCCAATTTTTCCCGGGACCCCAAAATGGGGCATTTTGGGGGTAGCTCCAAAATTTTAAATGTAAAGCCCCATCGAGTGACACCTCATTTTAAAGGCCTTTACTAAAGAAAAATATCAGCGAAAACTAGAGGTCTCTATCTCAACCCAGTACGACATGGCGGTCATTTTAAATTTTCATCAGCCTGCTAGAAACTTTTAATGAGGTTAAATTGTACGATGTATTTTCAAATGACCGCCATGTCGTACTGGGTTGAGATAGAGACCTCTAGTTTTCTTTGATATTCTTCTTTAATAAAGGCCTTTAAAATGAGGTCTCACTCGATGGGGCTTTACATTTAAAATCGTTGAGCTGCCCCCAAAATACCCCATTTCGGGGTCCCGGGAAAAATTGAGATACCGTCCAAAAAGTGCAGTTTTATTTTTTATGAAGGTATGTGGAGTTTAGTTTTCCTGATGTCACCTATTAAAAAGTTAACTAGGGGTATCCACACATTTGCCCAACCCTGTATAATAACCATTAATTACTTTTTAATTGTTCATTCATACATATGTCATACATTTTGTTCAAAATTGTTAACTGATTTATTTTTCAACCTTTCAAGTTTTATTATTGCAATAAAAAAGGAGGGGTTTTCTAGTTTCTTTTACTAACTTTTCTTTTTCTTTTCTTTGTAATCTCTTCATCTTGTATCACCTTGTACACTAGATTTAAGTCAACATTTTGGTCTCATTAACTCATAAACATGCTGGGTGGGAGGTAGACAAACCTTGGCCCAAAAAGTAGTAAATTTAAAAATACAACTTGCGTTCATACAGTCACGACCTAAAAATTGTTTTATTAACAAAATTGAGTTTAAAATCTGGCCAATCGTCAATTTTGTCCTATAAATTTTTAATTAGTGAGCCGTCTTGGTTGAAATTTGATACCAAATTGTACAAGCAATGGTTTAAAAATTTCACTCCTAATTGACCTTATAAAATTTCCTTGGTTGGTAGAAATACAAGAATTGTTTGAATTTATTTCATATTTTTCCTTTATCAGTCTAATTTGATAGCAGAGAACAATGAATACACTTTCTATGCTTGTCAAAAAGCTTTTTGACAACCCGATCCTAAGTTATTAAAATTTTAAACTTAAAAATTTATTTTTAAAACTAAAACCTTAATTGGCAATACTTGTTAGTTTTTCTTTGTAACATGAATACAATTAGTGAATGAATTAGTTTGCCCCCGATTCCAAATGTCTTTTTATTCATATCACTTGGCGCACGTTACAGTTTCATCACAGGTCAGATTTGAAGTGTTAGTAATTACATCGTCCAGATAAAAATTTCTCTGAGGTTTATTTCATTGAGCTAAGGTTTGATCTTTCTGCCTCCCAGTTCTTCACCATCAACTTTGTATCACATCACACTATCATCCCTACTTGAGCATGTAGTGACGGTGTTGGCTTGTCTGTTTGGTGGTGGTGTAGGGCGAGATGATCGACCGCATCGAGTACCACGTGGAACACGCAGTGGACTACGTACAAACTGCCACTCAGGATACCAAAAAGGCACTCAAGTACCAAAGTAAAGCGCGTCGGGTGAGTCATGTGTCCCGACAGATGCCTTCCGTTTTTGTTTTTCCCCAAATTTTGTTTTACCAATTTTATTTTACTAATTTATTTTGTTTTCTCCCCCCTCCGTTCCTCCTCCCACTCTCACTGGTCGACTAACGAATGTCTCACTAAATGTCGCTAACATGGGTGTGTTCGGGGTGTTGCTTGATCGTTCTGTCTCTTTCTCTTCTCTTCCTCGGTGTTCCCCTCCCCTAGGGCGAGCTGGTGGACAGGATAGAACATCATGTCGCCAACACGCAATACCAAGTGAGCAAGGGCAAGACGGAACTCGACGTTGCCGAAGATTACTCGAACAAGGCCAGAAAGGTACTCCTCCTACACGTTGCTATTAGTATATGTTTACTCGACAGCTTGCATTTTCACCTTGTTGTTTGAGCACGCTTGTGTGAGACTGGTTGAAATTTCTTGAAAGTAATCTCTGTAAGGTATGGTCAGATCGTTGTCCAATAGCTAATTTTTGTTTTTTGGACAACATACAGATTTTAAATAGAAACGAGGAAACCTGAGCGCTAATCGCACACATGACCGATGAAAAGCTAATAGTGCAATACACCTTTTACCTGTCCAAGATTACGTTTGTTTATGTAACTCTTAAAATACTAACTGTATTGGGTGAATACAGTAAAACCTCTTCTTACAATAAATTAAATTTCTTGGTTGTAGATTTAAACTACAAAGAGATTTATATAAAATTATTTATCCACCTAAATCTGGTTCCAATTGTATCGATAAAAGAAGCCCATAAAAAATCAATTTTTTAAACTGTTCATTAGCTCAATCATAATAATGTTTAAAAGATGTGTTCTCCAAAAATTTGTTAAGTAAATGATGTGGCTTTTATGTTTGCTGATTTATGAAAGATACTAAAAACCAAGTGAAGTGGAGAAATTGCACAAATAATAGTTGAACCCCTTGCAAATGTTAATAACAGCACATCTAACTAATTATTTGTGTCCTTGTAATTTCCCTTTTTGTCTAATGCAGCAATGCTTTCTATATTGCACTTTTCTTTGTCATCCGCTCCCTATCCTCAATTTAAGGAAACGTTTTTAATCTGTTAAGTTTATGCTATAACTATTATTGGTACAGACATTTGTTCATGTATGTTAATGACAGTTGCAAAAAAACAACAGTAAAATCAGCAAGTCAATTAAACAGGGTGCAATTATTTTTGTTAAATGTTTAAATGGTTTGTTATTTATTGTAGCGGTTCAAAAAGTCCACATAATGTGTTATTATAGTTCAGAAATATGGATTGACATTCTATATTATTATGTTGAAGCAATAACCTAAATTAAAAACTAAGAAATAATTTCAAAGAAGTTTAAATTAAAATATATCAGAATGAGAGAACCCGTGTGCAAAATTCTCATTTTAATAGGTTCAAAGGTTTTCTGAGGCAAAACAAAAAAAATAATATTCTTTTACCTTTACCAAATTATATTTTAAACATAGTTTTTTGATAAATAAGACTACTAATTTATGATAAACTTTGTCTCTTGCTTACTATCTGACTTTGGTCAAACATTAAACTTAATCAGGATCAGCCGTTTGGTTACAATTCACTTTAAATATTGACATAGCCTATTGTACTATTATGTAATTGGGTGAATACCATCACTGGATCTTTGAAAGCACGTGTTTTTAAATAAATCAAAAACTAGGAGGGGTGAAGCCCCAAAGGAAATTATTTTTACAATTAATATTCACCCCTACGCTAGATGTGAACGTTTTAAATAATTTTAAGCTTTAACGTTGCACATCAATCGTAAAAATCACTTGAGTAGAAAAGGTGAAAAAGAGATGTCAATAGGAAAATCCTTGTTGCCTTAAGTCCTAGATTATTAGCAATATCCTTTTTTTTAGGTTTCTAATAACTTGATTATTGAACTCTGAATTTTTTATCTGAGTTAATTGTTTTGTTTGCCCAGGGCTTCTTTCATTGGTTAATGACATGACCTATGGTTCAACTCTTCATTCTACAAACAATTGTCGCTACAGTATTATTACGTAATAGTTTTGTTACCAAAGAACAAACGATATAAAGGAAATGCAAGCTGTTTAGAGTAGTGTAGCGGTGCATGTCTCTTTTATCTAATATATTCTTCTTCTGCAAAGATTTGTGTTATTATTTTGTAGAGTAGTAACCCCAATAACCTATCTAACTGTATAGTATATTTTTGGATAAGGTAAACAATTTCTAGATAATTTTTGTCCTTGATATTATAAATTCATTACTTTGTGTTTGAGTTTAAAGACTTCTTTTTACCTAAAACGTTTTCAATTACAAAGAATGTGATCTCAGTAGAAAACTTGTTTTCAAAGTTTTCATTCAATGATAACGTTCAATTTTAGTTTTCAACTGTGATTAAATAATGATTGGTAAATATTATTGACATGATTTAGCTACGAAACTGCGAAAAAGATATATCAAAGCAGTTATTTTCAACTTTAATAATATGTTTTGTTATAATATGTTTGGTTAATGAAGATCAAGAAGGATGATAAACTTTTAACTTTTATTTATTATATTGTCTTGTGAGATACAAAATTTATTTACCTGCAAAAGTTACCCGAAAATATGCGTTAGAACACATCGTCCTTGTTTATATTAGATATCTAAATTATTCATACCTCACTTTTAAATTTTGTTTGAGGCTCAAAAAGATAGCTAAATTAATGGTACAACTAATACAACTATCAATGTGATTTCCAAAAGGCGTGTACCAATACTTTTTCTAGTCATCAGTGAAAAATTATTGAAATGCTGCTTTATTGACTCAAAGCTCAAATTTACAGCATTTTTTTGTTTCTAACAGTCCTAATTTATTTTGATACAGACATGTTTAAGGTATACAATTTCACAGATCCGATACATTTTTATAATAGACCTATCTAAAATTTTCTATGAGGTAAGTCGTTAAATATAATATAGTCAAAATATTATCTTGCTTAAAAACAAATAAAAGTAAAAGGTTATGCATTAGAATATACACATTTTAATAAATTTTAACTTATGATAAATAATAATTAATGAAATAGTTTTTTACTTGGAAATCTCCTTAAAATAAATGAAAACGTAAGTCAAATTAAAATCCTTTTTTGAGTTTTAGTACTTTTAAGCACTGCTAGTTTAGAGTAGCAGCACTGTAGTTTAGAATAGAATATTGTACTTAGATTCTGCTAGAAAGATCAGATTTAGATTACCGGTATAGATTTTATTAGATTCAAGAATTACGTCATGCTATATCAACATACTCTGTAGTACCCTGGAATCAAGAATTCAATTGAATTATTTAAGTTACATTGTTTAGTAGCCTTTGTTCTTGCAGAATTTGTAGTTTACTCCAATATATTTTGCCACGTTGTGCTTGAGGGAGATTTTAGTTCTTGTGAAAATGTCGCCACCTAAACTCAACAATTTTGTGCCGCTGTGTATATAGTCTAAAGTATATACTATGTAAATACATCATCTCTACAGCCTTCATGGTGACATATATATTCGAGGAACAAACTCTGCAAGAACAACGGCTATTAAAGGTAACTTAACTAATTCAATTTTCTAGTTCTTGCCACTTGGAAAATAAATAAAATCACAATTTAACAATACAATTAAATATTAGTTTTGTTGAAAATGACAAATTGATGGGATTTTTAAAGAAAAACCCTTGGTTTGGAAAATACAGTAAAGAAGGAGCACATACACAAGTAACTGACTCGAGAATAGGGTTGCAGACAGTTGATAGCAGATAAAAAATTCACCACATACTAAGCTTAATCATTTTTTGTTATTCAAAGTAGATTTCTAATGCTAAATATTGTCCTTCCATTACATTTGTGGCGAAATATCAAGTTTAATGTTGTGAACTCTTTCTTTACTATCAATTCACTTGACCTTTCCTAGGTGAGACAGTTATCTTCTCCATAGTTTACAAGTTCCAGTTTATATTCACTTCGACAATTACATTCTGGTCTATCTTGTCACTACCTTCATTGTTTGAAAGACTAAATTACTCACGCAATTCCCGACAGACAGCTCAAACCATATGCTTAATCAGGACATGTTACGGTGTTATATCACCATCACCAGCGCAAAAAAAAAAAAATTTTTTGAATTCTCCGAAGCTAATGATGGTGTTCTGAAACCGAAACATGTCCTGAATAAACATATTGTTTGGCTGTGATGGGAATAGTGTGAATAATTTAGTTCTTACATTTTGTTTAACCGCTTAGGAGCAAAAAAACGTCGGTGAAATGTTAATTGTTGTTGTACTTTTCTGTTCACAGAAAAAGGTGATGATAATCATCTGCCTGATCGTCGTTGTCACCATTCTTGTGCTCTTCCTCGTCGTCGTCTGATCTCAAGAGTGTCTGTTTGTTTGTTCGTATGATTATCCTTGTCTTCTATCCCGCCAAGAAGACATACTCTTCAGTGTTCAGACGTTTGTGAACCGATCAGTGATTTTCCCCTTACTCCTATGTCTCGGAATCGATACGTTTTTGGTTGTACCCGCAACCTACTCTAAATATGTTCTTGTTCGTACGACTGTTTATCCCGTAATCAAATCGTAAGTTTTTGTTGACGTAGAAATCTTGTAAAGTCTAGTTGACGCTAGTGTTACACAGAAGTGAGTAATTTTATAGTATTTATCAGAGAGTGTAGAATGGTAGCGTAATGTATCGTAAACCTCGGTTTATCTGGAGTAGAATTGCTAGGATCCATTTTTCCTGGATGAGGAATTTGAGAAGATTTAATTACAGAATTTGTGTTTTCCTTTGAGTATAACTTTCATACTTTGGCGCTCTCGTTTTATGCCCTGTCAGAGTACATCATCACTGTAAACTTTGTCACTAAAACTTGAATGAACCAATCAAAAGTGATGTTTCTATTGCGAGTGGTCGCAAAAAATACTCATAGCATGCCCAACTAACAATCTAATGTCAATGTGCTAGTTTTTTCTTAA